TTACCTCTTATCCAGTAAAACTATCCAAACACTAGATAGCACTTTTCTGCGCCGTTACCCATATAGGGTTTTACGATCTGCCCAGTAATGGGCCAGTACTGGTTGCCAGACTTGCAGTGCTGGCGCAACGCTCGTAAAAGCTACCGGTATAACACTGGCAACACAATGGCTTCTACCTGGATGGTAACCTGGGTCCATGGCTCGTGCCAAATCTGGCCCAACACTGGTCATCGACATCAGTCCAGTGTTGGGTGTCAATGTCCATCCGAAACTAACTACTGACATCGGCCCAATGTTGCATACTAGTATTAGTCCGACACTGCTCAGACAGCATAAAAAAATATTTATATACATGTTTTTTCTTTTTTTTTAATTTTTCTTAAATTTTCCACATTATTGTTTTACACGCTACTTAATTCAATTTAAATTGTACTTCGAAAATTTGCTTACCATTGCTGAAGATTTGAACCTAGCACCTCTGGTTCTTAAAGTCGTTTACCTTACCTACTGCACCACTGTCACTTTGACTGAAAAATGCTTTGTATTGTATACATATGGTATATATCCATGCACGAAAACAAAAAAAAGTATATTTAAGAAATATTTATTTATTTTAAAAGTAAGTAAAATACAAATAAATCATTTTGTAAATTTAAATAAATTGCTTTCTGATAAGAAACTTTAATTTGAAACATAAAAAAGATACTTTTAATATTAGAAAATAATTTATTTAAGTTTATAAAATTATTTACTTGTATTTTAGTTACTTTTAAAACAAGCAAATATTTATTAAAACGCAGTTTTAAAAAAAACTAATTTTCTTCTTAAAGGAAATCATTTGCTTAATTTTATATATAGATATTTTAAATCAAAGAAATAATTTTTTTCTCTAGAAATTCATAATTTTACAGCTCATTTTACAAATTTAAAAAATATTACTTTATATCTATCATATGTTTTGTAAAATTTAACAAATATCTTTTCCAGTTAAGAAATTATTAATAAATATAATTTCAGTTTAAGAAATTATATTTAGCAAAATATATTTCTATAATTTAAAGAATTTCTTTTCAGTGTACATTATCAATTTAAACTTCGATTTCTTACTTCCTCATTAATTTAATAATTTTCATATTTCTTCATTAATTTAATAATTATAAATAATTACATTCATTTTTCATGTGTAATATTTATAGAAATATTTATACACACACACACACACACACACACACACACAAAATATTACTACAAATATTTATTTTTTTTTACAATAAATATTATATAAAATATTTAGTCTATATTTTCATAATATTTTGAGTAAAGATTTTTATACTTTTTCCTTTATGTGTGTGTATATAAAATATTTATAAAATATTTATATAATATTTTTAAAAAATAATTCAAAATAAATATTTATAAATACTTATCATAAATATTGTGTGCTGTCTGGGTGGCCGCTAGCATTTACTCGACACTAGTAAACTTACAACACATATTCTTTAGAAACTTTTTAGACAAAAGTAATGCGGTTTTTTGTAAAAAATAAAATGGACTAAAAAGTTTTTTACTGTTTGCAATAGTTACAGAGATAGCAAAAAAAGCATGAAACTTTGAGGGATAGTTTCACCCTTTAGGGCTATCGCACACAAATTGACATAACTGCATATGCATAGCATAAGACCGTATGTACCAATGAGCATCGAGTATTAAGTCGCTATATTGGTGTTCGATGCTTAATATTCGATGCTCATTGGTCCATACGATCTTATGCTATGCATATGCAGTTATGTCAATTTGTGTGCGATAGCCCTTAAACCTGAGCCATTGCCGATAAAAATATGGGTCTCTTATTTTTGGCCATTCTATAAATATAAGTTTCATCGAAATCGGAGACATGCACTTCGCAAATGTTCCTTGTTAGTCTAATAAGGTATGAGTAAATACCTTATTAAAGGTAAAAGTACCATAACCCGGACATGTATCTAAACCTAGATATTGGTTACGTTCAGAAAACATAGCTGATCAGTGAGCGGTCAGTGATTATTGGTCCTTACTGTTAGATCCCTAACTTTAGACCAATTACGTTGACTAATTACTCAACAGTTGTGTAATCGTTGTGTCTCCTGAACGCAACCATTGTTATTATGGCTAACAGAACTCTGGTTCATAATTGGCCACCGTACGTTGGGCAAGTACCAACATTCATTATAATGTCAGACTATTCAGTGGCCAATTATCAACTAGTGCTGGCTAACAGAACTATAATTCAGAATTGGCTGCCATACGTTTGCCAAGCATCAGCGCTCGTTATAACGCCAGACTTCAATGACCAAACATCGAACAGTATTGGCCGAGTACTAGTTGACAGAAGTCTGGTTTATAGTTAGTCGCCGTATGTTGGCCAAGCGTCGGCGCTCGTTATAACGCCAAACTTCAGTGATCAAGCATTAACCAGTACTAGCCGAGTACTGGCTGACAGAACTCTGGTTCATAATTGGTCGCCGTACATTGACCAAGCGTCGGCGCTCGTTATAACCCCAAACTTCAATGGCCAAGCATCGACCAGTATTAGCCCAGTACTGGTTGATAGACTCCAACTGCCAGATAAGTGCCATACCCAGCGAGAAAGGTTACGTCGATTCGACGTCTATATGAAACGTCTATCTACCATCTACGTCTAATCTACATTAAGATCTATATCGATCTAAAAACGGTCCACATTTAGATGTCTAATAGACCGACATTTCGACGTCTTATAGTTGTCTAATAGACCGTCATTTCGACGTCTTTTCGACGTCGATCAATAAGTCATCGATCATTTCTCACTAGATTGTTTCATAAAAATAACTAATTCCTAATTTTCTTTATGTCTTATAAACTGCTAGAAACCGAAGATTGACAATCACACGCTAAAACTTTCGCGAATCCTGCCTGGAAAATTTCGAATTCGAAGTGGCACCCATCCATCCTGACTGCGTTGCTTAACCTAACGATCGAGCAGCACGCGGTGTTCCAATGACTCCAATGATGTTCTTACAATTTATGCTTATAAAATGTATACTTATAGTGTTCACAGTATATTATAACGTACCTAGCAAATACACACGTTGATTCGCCTGTCTATTTTATTTCTATCTATCTATTTTATTTTATCTATCTATCTATTCTATTTTATCTCTAAAGTTTATGTAGTTATTTGCAAAATGACTTTGATCATTCCTTCCAGTTTAATGTTTTTCGAGTAATCTGACATTTCTATCTTTGTAATACTATAATTGAATCGGAAATCTAAAAAAAAAACTGACGTTTCCACTTAGAATACATTTTTTATGCAAAACGTGCGCGATCTAGGTGAGAAATGATTTATTTATCGACGTCGAAAAGGGGAGCGGTGCACTTGGACACGGGCAATTTGGACACAACCAATCACAGCACCGTGTGATTAGAGACATTTGTAGGGTCCCTTGGAACAGCGACTTATGATTGGACTGCGTCCAATTGCCCCGTGCCCAACTGATATACACTCCGTCGAAAAGATGTCGAATCAACGTCGAAATCGTTAAATACACGTCGATTCGACGTCTTTTTGAAGTCATTTCTTACTGGGATATTAGACGTCGATTCAATACCGAATAGACATCTAGAGAGATTGTAAATAATCGACAAAATAAAATTCCGAAATTTTATTGAAAACTCTCTTTTAATGGTCAATATATTATGAATGGATTCTAAAACATTAGAATTTACTCAAAATAGAAGACGTCTAAATTGCCACTTTTCTAGACGTGCATTTAGACTAGACGTAACTTAGACTTCTGCGACGTCGGTTAAACGCCGAATCGACGTCTACGTTCTCGCTGGGTAGTTCCGGCAAAACGTTGGGTTCGTTGTAAGCAAACCCTATATGGGTAGCTAGAAGCAGGCATACTTTCTATTCAGTGCTTTCAAATCGGAATAATGGGAAATAAAAAAACAAACTATTTATAAAATAGATTGAGGAAAGTATTATTAATGAAGTATTATTTTATCTAAATAACAAAAAAAACATTTTATATTTTGTGTCGTTTCATTTATTCGTGAGATTCGTGGATTCGATCCTATGTCAGACGGTCACCATCTTTAGATGATTATATGCTGTTCAATGTCTAAACGTCAACGATCGTACGGAAAGTAATGATGACAATGCGCTGTAACAACATATTAATGGATTATATTTACAATATCAAGCGACACGATAGTGTCGCGAAGCCAAGTGCAAGCGCGAACGGCCGTGTATACTTACGCCGCGACACTAGTTGATAGCACACCAGATTTCTTGTTTGACCATAACGGTTGAACAGATGAGATTCTAGATAGGCTCAATCGATTCTTTGGGTTTACATTAGTTAATAAGACTGTCTTTACTTTTACTCTACGTTCTCTAGAAGCTGAGATATTTTAGCTCAAAGTCCGAAATCGCTAAATTTTACGATTAAGGAATTCGTCGTCTGAGAAAATGTCCAGTTTGACGTATTTGTCGCCAGAGGCGCTACGGCTCAGATCAGCTTGGGATGTTCGGAAACTCGGTATGAGTCTGTTCTTTGTAGCTGCACTGCTGAACTGGTGCAATAAGTTAGAACAAGATAAAATATACTTTCTCACTTTAACTTATTGCACCAGTTCAATAGTGCAGCTAAAAAGAACAAACCAAGTAGTGTTTACATGGCAATTATTCAGTTTAGTGACTTCACCTCCGATTTCGATGAAAGTAGGCTCAAGCGATGCGATTTTATTAAAGAAACAACTTTTTTATTTGACAAAATCGTCGGTCTCTACTACAAAGCGAGATATTAATGAACAAAGTGGAGGGCGCATTAGGTTAAAAAATCTGTTATACCGTCTATCTCTAGCTGTGTGACTGGGGGGCTTTACCTTCCCCAGACCCCCCGCACTGCGGCGGGATAGGGGCCGCAATCTCTTGTGCTTAAGCTAAAGAGTGAATTTCTCACAAAAGATTGCGGCCACCACCCCGCAGCGGTGCGGGGGGTCTGGGGGGCGAAGTTCCCTAGTCACAGCTATGACAGATTTCCTAACCTAACGCGCCGTCCACTTTGTTGGCTCACATCTCGCTACTTGGTGCAGAACGACAATTTTGTCAGACGAAAAAGTTGTTTCTCGTGCAAAAACGTAAGCTTATTTTTATCGAAATCGGAGGTGAGGTCACTAAACTGAATAATTATCACATATAATGATAATAACAACGAGATCTTGTTACACACATACACACACACAACTGTGATAAGAAGATTGAGGAAGATTGAAGATTTTCAAAAAATCTAAGGTGAAGGCGTTATACTGCATATTTACCAAAGTTAGCTGTCAAGAATTACAAGATTTTTACCATTAGTTGTACGTATTAGCTGTTACGAAGAAGTTGTCAATATTAAAGAAACTATTAACGTAAGTGGGAAAGAATTACTTTACACACATAATATTTATATAAAATAACATTTATATGTTTGATATGTTATGTTTATAGAATGCATATTTTGATTAGAGCAGTCTATATGACAGATGCTATAATTAACAGTTAAAATAATTAATTGTAACACTACTTATTAGATACATTTGTGATTTATTTATTTATTGTGTTCACATTTAATACTATAAAAGTTCTTTGCGATAAAGGATATTAGGATAATTGTGTAGTGAAAGATTCAACTATGAAGTATTTCTATGTGCCAGTATAGTGATTAATAATCATTTTTTACAGTTGAGAAATTGAAACATGATATGATACCCATTTTCCTGGAAACAGATTAGAGTTGTATCAAATCAAGAATTCATATACTGAAAACAATACAAAAAGTGCATAGAGATTAAAAAAAAAAGTAAAAATTTATATTATACATATATATATAATTATTATTATGTAGACAATATTATGTAATTAAACAATATTAGCTTTTAAGTGTTGATGTTCCTACATAAACGTTATTCATTGTTTTGTTTTTCGCATTAAAATCAATTTATCATCATCATCAATTGAAGAATAAAACCTGCAAGGTGAAAAAAATAAGCGAGATAAAGATGGAAAATAGAAAGGTAAATAAGGAATGAACAAATATCAGATAAGTAACTAATATTCTCATAAAATAGGCAATTTATATATGTGCGCATTGTAATTGTAAATGTTGATGTACCAATTTATTCTTTTGATTAACTTTTTTGTTCCAAAAGAATCGGTCTAACAACATTTACAATTACAGTGCGTATAGTCGGTCAATTAAAGGTTGTCACAACTTTTGTAATGCATTTTAGAACATACCATTAGTTCCTGAGATGTGAGAATCTCTGCTGACACACACAGATAAAGCTGCGAGTGACAGTCCGTCTGCATATTATGTCAAAAAGTTAATCTATATAAAAGGTTAATTACATTAAGAGGTTAATTTACGGTATTACACTACGGTATTATATTTATATTATTTAATGTTGCTTATGTTGTGATATTTTCAGAGAAGAGATCAGGATTATACAAAAAGAAGTGATATCCGTACAAAAATTACCTTTTTAAAAAAAAGGTAAAAAAAGAATCCAAATGCACGCGCTTTGTTTCACTTTGAAAAAATATTATGAAAAAAGTTATTGACAAAATTCTTACAAAAAGAAATGATATCAAACGGTTTACGCCAAGTGAAATTAATTTCATACACAATAAATATTATTATAACTACTTTGCATATATGAACACTACATCTAGTGATTTTATTTTCTGATAATTATGAAAAAATAGTTTTTAAAAGCTTATTTAGTAAACATACAAAAGTAAAAATTTTGGGAAAGGTTAAATAAACTGTCACACGCATATAGAAAATATTTGGCGTACCAAGGTAAAATTTCACACGCATACACAAAACACTTGACATGCCTATTTTTTTTAATGTTACTCGTACAATATACTCCAAAGATTAAAAGTATTAATGTGATCACTTTTAGCACGCCAAGTGTTTTGTGTGTGCGTGTGAAATTTTACCTTGGTACGCCAAATATTTTCTATATGCGTGTGACATTTTATTTAACCTTTCCCAAAATTTTTACTTTTGTATGTTTACTAAATAAGCTTTTAAAAACTATTTCTTCATAATTATCAGAAAATAAAATCACCAGATGTAGTGTTCATATATGCAAA